CCTGCAGGTCATCAACGGCCTGGTGGCACTTGAATTCGCGCGACCGCGACTTGAGGTTTCCAGCCTTGACAACATCCCGCCATCGGATATGGCCGCCAGTTGCAGGCGGCCCAGCTGTCATGGGCGCATTTGGCAGTAGGTGCGTAAGTAGCCACTTCCATTACACACTTCGCTTGAGGCACATTGCATGTATGGCGCCCTTCTTTGTAGTCCATGATGCTGCCGGATTGGTTACAATGATGCCGTGTGGCTCAAATCTAATGCGGAAAATCATATCATTGGGAGGATTGTTATAAAAATGAGTACGCACCTCCCTCCGAATATATCCTGGCAATTCCTGCTTAGCAACATCGCCTGCTTCTTCAACCGTCGGCCGCCAGCAGCTTCTTTGAAGACAAGGCTCGAACGAAATAGGTGCACCGACTCGAGTGCATAAGCGAGTTTTGCAGGGGCGCCGCGGGGAAGGACGCCAGGTATCAGAAGTTCGTTTGGTCCGCGCCACACCTTGGTGGCCACGTCGACCAAAAAAAGTCGGGGCTGCAAAACAGCAATTCCACCCCTGTTCTCCCGTTCGAATATACACAACCTTTCGCTCCATTTTTGGTTTATTTGGGATTCATATTTTTGTGTTGGCTGCAGGTGCATTTTTCGGGGACTTTTCGCAGTCCCGACTTTTTTTTAGTCGACGTGGTGGCTTGGCCGCCGGAGAGACAGAACCCTCCACACGATCATTGGCACGTGAGCGTACCCCGCAGTTCTGTGCGTCATCGGCAAAACAGTGCAGGCTGAGGCTGTGTGCAGCACTCGCATTGGTGCGGGTTAAATAAATTAGATGATTTGAAGCAGCCAATTCGGATCAACGGGATGCACAAGCTGGTCATCGGCAATAGCCGGTCAGCCATGACAGCGGTGATCAGCTGTCACATGGCAGCCGATGTGGCATCCGGTTGCAGAAAAACTACAGGACCGTTTGTGCACCAATAGCACGATCAGAGGAATATCAGCAAATGAAATGGGTGCCCGATCACAAGGTGGTTAATGCCTAACAAGTCGGGCGGACCACTTGGATGGCCGCCT